CCTAAACTTGCTCTCCAACTTTCCCTTAAGTTTCTCACCATATGGTCTGCCTTCTTCTTCACTCCCAAGAGAGCATAGATGAACTCTTGGCTTCAAATAAACAGAATGAATGCTGGATATCACCACTAGACACAGTTAAACGGCATTTTAAAAATTGTCACAAAATTATTATACATGTTATAAGTAGTATCGGTATTGTTTATTTACTTGGCTCCTCCTCCTAGCATCCCTAGACTTCTCTTCTGAAAAACCCCTAGTGCCTGGACCTAAGATTCAGTCTGGTGGTAGGTTAAATCCTTGCTTGACTTGATTTTTGAAGCTAGGCTTCTAAGCAAGGCTTTGGCATCTTTTCATAGTAAACAATTGTTCATTGTTTGAATTTTTGCAACATGCACATATTGCTTTTGTCACAAAGAGGGTTATTTTTAGAAGATCAAATATACAGAAATAAGGAGATGAAAGGAACACAATCTTCAAGAAGGAGACCAGAAAGCCCCAGCTTGAGCATGAGATCATTCTCTGATCTCACCAGAGGTTAACGGTCTGTGATGCAGGAAGTGCTGGCGCCCCCTACCTGACTATGGGACCATTGAGAAGGAGGGGTTGTGTCATTTCTTCCTTCTTTTTCCTTGGGTAGGACAGGACACAGAACACAGTCAATACTAAATACATAAGTGTATACATGCCCTAGTGATTATTTTCAAAGTGACATTTCAATGTAAGTTAAGATTTGTGTACCTCTGTAAAAAATAGAAGACTATTAACAAATGCCATTCTCTGCTGAAATGGAGGAGTCATTAATGAATGTCAAGAAACAAATAAAAGAGGGGACATTTGAACTAGCTGGCAAGTGAGGGAGGGTGTGAGATGGGAGAGGGTATGAATACCTCTGAAGGAGGATTTTTAACTCATATCTTGAAAATAGCAATAGAGCTTAATTGGGATGCCTTTTCATGGAATAGTGCCCTCCACATAACCATTGTCTCTCCCTTCTTGACATTATGGAAAAGGCAATCAGAATATTCCAGAAGAAATTAAAACCAATGGGTTCAGCTGCAATGGGTGAAGGAGGGCATTCCCAGGACCAGTTTTAAAGCTAATATACATCATAGTAATAGCCATGAAAAGCTGAAACAGTACTTCTGTATCTCTGGGTTAAGGTAAAAGACTGAAATAGAAACTTCAGGTAACAAACTAGCCAGGAACTCTAGAGTCCCAAAACTCAAGGACTTAAAATGACTAGAAAGCAACGATACAGTCAGTTCTAGAAATAAGACCATGTTTACTTGAAGTTGAGATTGATCATGACTAAGAAAAAGGGCATCACATTGTGTCTTAGCATCTTTTAAAAGTTGCTCCACATAAAATACATTTAATATATTATTTAATGATATTAGTTAACTTTAGTTGTATGTTTTATACATGATGACATGAGGAGTCATTGTTCTAATCTGGATAGCAGATGAGAATTGTGCCCTTTGGATTGAATTATAGACCACCTAATGATGCCTCACCATGGAATGACCTGGGGAAGTTCAGTATGACTGCATCAGTGACATCTGGGAGCTTGTTGAAAACACAGATTAGCAGGCTGCACTGAGGCCCCCTTTGCCAGAATCTCTGAGGTAGTTCCTAGGAATCTATGTTTTAATAAATTCTCCATCTGATTCTCATGCATGCCAAAGTTTGAGAACATCGAAATATGAAGGCAAATGTCCAAATTTCTGTACTTGGTAGTATATTTAATTATCATGATAACGACAATGTAAAGAAAAAATACGCAACAAATAATTTTTCAATTCTGTTCAATCTTTACACATGATACACATTCTCCCACTATTGCAATCTGAAAATGTGCTTCTGCTATAGGCTGAAAAGTGTTATATTAAGAGCAGCATAAACAAAATGACTAATTTGACCTCAATTTCAAGGAAAGATTTTGTTTCCTATTGTGTTCATTTCTAGATAATATAACAGACAACACAGAGAACACTCTTAAGAACTCGTTAAATTATATTGTGCCTTGCTACTTTCCTTCAGAAGAATGAAAATGTTGACTAACATCTATATTCATTCTCATCAGCACTCCTAATTTCTTTTTCAAGGCCTGTCTTTTTCTCGAAGTGGTTCAATGGAAGACAGGAGCTGCTGAAATGTTGGACGCTTTTCTGGAAGCTAAAAAAAAGAAAAAAAAATGCAATGTTTTAGATGACGAAACTTATGGTTAAAGATAAGATACATACAATGTTTATACCTCAGTCCAAAAGCTAGCAACTTTTGAAATGTGAAAACACTACACACATTTCTACTGGGGTCAGAAACAAAACTAGGAAGACCACGACATCCACCACTATTAACATTGTGTTGAAGATATTAGCCAATGCATTCAGAAAGTGAAAGCAATCAGAGCCCCAGGAATTAGAAAATAAGTGTCTGTATTTGCACAGGGTATGATCGTATACCTGGAAAACCCAAGAGTGTCAATGATAGAATCAACCCAAACAATGAAGGAGTTGCCAGGAGAGCTACCTATAAAATTAGCATACAAAATCAACAGCCTTCACGTCTACCTATAGTCACTAGGTAGAAGATACCATAGAAGGAAAAGCAATAGCAAGAAGAGCTTAGAAGAGCAATAGCACCAAAATAAAATACTTTAAATATGTACCCCCAGAATGAAGAAAACGTTAAAACACTGTTGGAAAATACAAATGTAGACTTGAAGATATATATAAAAAAACTCTTATTCCAGACTAGGACAAGTCAATATCATAAAGACGTTACATTTCCCAAGTTAAAATATAAATAAATACAATCTCAAAAGTGCAGGTGAATTTGTTTCAAGCTAAACAAACTGATTCTTTAGTTTATAGATTTTCAAAATATGCAAAAATGGCTAGGAAGCAATAAAGAAAGGTAAGCAATGAGAAGTGCCAGTCTACCTGGTATTCAACATATCATAAAGTCTGATAGAATCATAGCAGTGTAGAGCTAGCACTACATGAACAAAGAGATCAAAGAACAGAAGAGGAAGTCCCCAATGAAACTCAAATACATATGGAAGGTTAGTATAATACTAGGGTGGCATTTCTCCACTTAAGGTAGTATCACAACCCTGGAGATAAGATGGTCTTTTAATAAATAGTGTTGCCAACAACTGGATAGTCAGATAAAATGGTATCTTTGGAGCCACACTTCATGCTATATACCATAACAAACACAGACTAGACCAGAGACCTAAAAGGAAAATAATGAAACCAAAGAAGTACTAGAGGAAAATCTCCATGAATTCCATTATAATTTGAGCATGGGAAAGCCTATTTAACTGCGACTTGATTTCCAGAAACAATAAAAGCAAATATTGATATATCTAACTATGTTAAATAAAAAAAAACTTTTGCATGGTCAAAAAATCTCCCCATCCACCAAATCAAAATATAAGTTATGAATGGGAAGAAAATATTGATAACTTCTATGTCAGATAAAGTACAAGTATTAATCTCCCTAATTTATAGAGATCTTTAAAACCTGTTAGAAAAAAAGGGAAAAGATATGACAGATAGTTCTCAGAAAGATACACAGGTGACCCTTACAATATGAAAAGAGGCTCAGGTCAACCTCACTCATAAAGAAAGATACACATACTACAGCTGCACTAGGATGTCATTTTGAAGACTGGGTCCAGGGTCTGTGTAGCAGGTACCTTCCCTCAAGAACGCTTTGTCCCACTGTGATGCAGCGACCACCCTGGATGCTTGTGGGACCCCATTCCGGCTCACCCAGGTGATGCACTTGCCTCATGCCAGCAGCTGTACATTATCTGGTAGATGGTGTCTGATGCCAGTTGAGGCCGATAGAGCCTGTGGCCCTGGGAGACCTTCACAACCACCTGGGAGTTGTCGTATAAGTCATAGGGCTGCTTTCCCAGGCTGAATACTTCCCACATCAGGATCCCTGCTCCATACCGGGGCGGGGGGGCAGACAAAAAAAATCGCCAATGTCAGAATGTATAGGGTTTGTGAAATAAGTTTCATGCACTAGATCAGGAAGTTTATAGATCAGAGCAAGGGATTCCCTGGGACATGAGTCTTAGTGAAAAGAGCAGGGCATGGAGGGTGGGCCTTTACCATTCCTTCTGGAGTGTCACTGAGACCTATTAGTCTGTGCTTGCTTTTAAAGGGTGAATGGCAAGGGTGGCCACAGTGAGAGCCATTTGACACTAAGATTCTTGGGCTGCTCCCGGGAGGTGGTGGGGGCCTGATTCAGCCTCACAGCGACAACTGCCCATGTAGTGAGCCCAGCCCTAGTCCTTCTGAGTGATAGACCGAAATCCTCACCCTTTCTGCCCCTCTGCCTTAGCAGTCACGTGCAACAATTTCATTGCAACATCAAACTACCTTTCAGTGAACATTCAATGGTAAAATCATTGACAACATTCCCCCTTCTATGATTGAGTAATTAATGATTTTTAGTGGGTCAGGAGCCCTTTAGGGAATCTGATAAAAGCCACCGGCCCAGCCCTGGGGAAAGTGAATGAATTTTGGTGCTTTGTTTCAGGAGGTTCCCACTCCCCCCAAACTCATCGAGAGCATTGTTAAGAAAACTCTGTTTTGCTTGTGGTGGTCAGGAGGGTGGCATTCGGGCTCAGTCAGACATGGCCTTTGAGACTAAGTTCTGCCACTTACAGGCTGGGTAAGTTTCTCAGCCTCTCTCAGCCTCAAGCCCCCCGTCTATAAAATGGGGTATTTGTACCTCATGGACTTGCCATGAGGCAAGGATAAAACAGGGAGGGCACTAAAGGGGCACTGGGACCTTTCAGGCGCTCTCTAAATGGTGGGCATCGTGCTGTGCTGCCTAAACTCACAGAATTTCAACAGTCAGCCAGGTTCTAAATCCTTGGAAAACAAGATAAATAGGTAAGAAGGAAGAAAATTGTTCTAGAACCCCAACTGAGGTACTAACTTCAAACCTTCTTTGACATTAAGCCTACAGATTTTATATAAAATATTTATAATAATTTTTTTTTAAGTTTAGGGGACAGCTCTTTTTTTGTGAAAACACACGTTATAAAACAACCCCCTGACAGAAGGCTACTTCCTCTCAACTTGCTATTTGGGAGGCTACCCACTTATTTCAAAGATAATATCATGGTTCACAATATTTGTGGGGCTCCCCCAAATCTGGGAATTGCTTTCACAGGCCCTGCTGCATTTTGAGGATCTTTCTTGGGGACATACTGCTTAAGAATGGATTTAATGTATATAAACCACCAAAAACTATCTGGAGCCAACTTCTATGGTATAAGGTGAATGATCAAGCTGGGTAAGGCTATTTTGATCAAAAATAAGCTGTAACTACTGAAGAAGGGCATTCATTTTTTTAGATCACTCATAAGGCATATCACTGATGCATGGATATTGAAATTAATTTTGACAATAAAGCACAAATGTCAATCAGCACAAAATGACATCAAGTATTCACCAAAATTCTATCTTTGTGATTTTTCCTTTTCCTGAGTATATTTGATTATTTTTTTACAGTGGAAAATGCCACTTTTGTAAAGGGAATAGTTAATTAACTGTGTCACATTAAAAAATAAATGACTAAATTTTCCTTTGCTCAAAGGTAGTCTTGCAGGTGACAAACAGTAAATCAAATTACACTTACGGATGAGGGCATGAAATAGGTCTCAGTTCTATTTGGATTATCTATCAAGGACCCATCTGATAGTGATCAGAAACAGTCCTGACATTACCCATCATAGAAAATTATCAGAAAATGTAGAGTGCTTGCTGGGTGTGTGGCTCATGCCTGTAATCCCAGTACTCTGGGAGGCTGAGGTGGGTGGATTACCTGAGCTCACAAGTTCGAGACCAGCCTAAACAAGAGCAAAACCCCATCTCTAAAAAAAAATAGCCAAGTGTTGTGGCAGGTGCCTGTAGTCCCAGCTACTTGGGAGGCTGAGGCAAGAGGATCGCTTGAGCCCAACAGTTTAAGGTTGCTATGAGATATGATGCCATGGCCCTCTATAAAGGGTGACAAAGTGAGACTCGGTCTCAAAAAAAAAAAAAAAGGAAAAAGAAAATGTACAGAGTCATAATTTAAGAATTATTTCCCTTTCCTAAATTATCCTTATTACATTTTAATATAGATCTTTTAATAAACTAGAAGTCAGCAAACTTTTTCTACAAAGGACCACACAGAAAACATTTTAGGCTTTTTGGGTCATGTAGCACCTGTGACACCTACTCTGCTGTTGTAGCACAAAATGAGCCCTAGGAGAATACATAAACGAACAGGCATGGCTATGTTCCAATAAAACTTTATTTACAAAACAGGGCATCTGATTGGTTCTAGACTATTGCTTGCCTACCCTGATATAAAGCAAATATTTTAACAAGGAGAAAAGACTACTTGCAATTAGGTATAAGCCAAAGAAAGTACCAAATCATATCTGGTGTTGACCCTATGGATGTCCAAAGAATTGGTCAAATCAGAAAGGAATGGTTGTCATTGTTATTGTCACGCAGAAAATGACTTCATTTTATGCCCTTCAATTTTTCTGCAGTTTGGAAGAACTCAGATTCAGTTTTTAATGACTCCTTTAACAAAACTGTTTGAAATCTTCTTAGAAAAGCTTTTATCCCCTTTGATCTTTTTATTTTTAGATATGGGGGTTGGAAAGGGTGTGTGTCGCTATGTTGCCCAGGCTGGACTCGAACTCCAGTACTTAAGTGATCCTCTCACCTTAGCCTCCTGAGTAGATTTATCCCCTTTGATTTTATGAAAAAGTTCTAGCAGGATGTGAAGCACTCAATGTGTGGAAGACATCCTAACGCCTGGCCCAAGAAAGTCAATCACCTTCTTCAACCTTTTGCTTGTCTCAGCCCATGTGTGTAATTTGTAAATCCTTAAGGGCCCTTTTAAAATGGATGTTGCTGCTCTTGTGGTTTCCTGTTGTGGAAACCAGCTTATGAAACAGGGCCAGGTCCTGTGTGGCCACATCCTTACCGAATGCCCATACATCGGACTTGCTGCTGTATTTGAAGTAGTGAAACACCTCTGGAGCTGACCACTTGACTGAGAACTTCGTTCCTACTGAACTGACATACTGGTCATCAAGAACATACCTGTGGGGGAAACACACAACACAGACCCTCAGCTGGGAAGGACACACGGCCATCCAGCGTCTCAGCCTCTTAACTGCACTTTTCTGGATCTTTCACTTCCTTTCAATGTGTGGGCTTAGCTAGAGGCTGGTCAGGATTGGTAAGCATTTAACAAGTGACATGCAGCCTTGAATGTAGCACAACCTGAATGCAAAATGTTTGGTAGTATAGAAAACCACAAAAGTGTAAAATAAAATCACCCAGAAACTCAGCCCAAACATTACTTGCAATTACGTCACTCAAGATACATTTCTGCTTGTACTTTTCAGTTATTTCCCTCATATGTGTAATTGGAAGAAAACTGGGTTTCTGTTGTGTTGAGAGTTGCTTTTATTTTTCCTTTAACGGCATATCATGAGCATTTTCCCACGTGGTTACACTGTCTAATACATTGTCATGCTTCCTGGCTGAGGAATATTCCCTCTAAGGATCAACATAATTTATGTCACTGTCATAAATGATGAGGACCAAAAACATCCTACAGCAACATCAAAACGATAAAAACAATCTTCAAGGATGTTCAGTAAACCCTTGTTTGTCATAATGATAAAACAAAGCAGCCACAATGTCCCCATGTTCAGGAGTAAAGACATGTGTATTCTGGCACGCTAATACAATAGAATAGTACGCAGCCATCAAAAAGGAGGTGGTTCTGTTTACCAACATTAAGAGATCCTCATGGTATATGGTTATGTGCCAAAGTAAGCAAGTTTAATGTGATTCCCTGTCTGTGGGAACAAACAGTAGAAGTGCATATTTGTGTATATTGTGGGGTAGCCTTCAGAGTAAGGGCTGAAATAGCATCTACCACATGTTAGCCATGGTTACTTCATGTACTGGCCATGGGAGAAAGGAGTGGGGACGATTCTCCTTCTTACTTTATATGTGACTACTTATTTCTTACAATAAGTACATATCATTTCCATAATTTTTAGGGGGAAACACTCTCTACTTGCCCACAAAACTACAACAAAAACCTACTGGCTCAACTAGAGAAAATGAGAATTATGACAACTGAAAATTTGGATCTCAGTTAGAAGAAAGATTTACGCACCGAGTTGCTTTAGAGATCCCTACTGTGATTTAGAACAGCTGCTTGTGAAGATCATTTTTCTAAATATTAACGACAGTGCTAATGAACTACACATTCATAGGATTCCATAGGGCACCTTCCATACTTTCCTCCCCAGGGCCCCTCAGCCCCCAGACACTACCCTTGCACCCCTGGCTTTGTCTCCTCATGGCTTAAAACTTTCTTCACATTATCAGGAACAAATTAAGTCGCTGGCATCTACAAACTCTGATGTGGTCACAGAGTTTCATGACCAACAGGGCCTGGCGCATGGTCACCTGATCCCTTACTCAGAGCAAGGCCTCTTGTCTCCTGTTTGTGAAGTTACAGAAAATTGGATAGCATGTTCCCTGGATGCTGGCCCAAGAGGCAATATTCCTGCTTTGAGAGCAAAGGTGGGGATCAGGTCCCCTGTCCCGGGAGCTTCTCTCTGCTTTAAGGAAGTGGGAGCAGATGTTTTTCTGGTCCTTGAGAGAGCTACACTTTGGGGGCATCAGTGTAGGAGACTCCGTGGATGGCTCTTGGAGTGAGGGAAGGTAGCACACAAATAAAAGGTCACCCTGCCCATCCTGAACGGATCCAGAGGAATTACCGTAGCTCCCATGGTCTGTGCCACTGGGGTCAAAAAGCAGCCCTAATGTTGAATTTTGGAGAAGATGTAAAAAAGCAGATCCTCCTATGGCATTTTAGACCATATTGATTGCATGTTTGCTAAATATAGAGCTGGTCTTGGCCAACTGTTCATATCTCATTTAAACTGCATGGTTCCTCCTCAGAATTACACGAGTTTATATTGTCTGCACAGGGTTATGGCTGCATTTAGTCTCAATGTCCAGGATATCTCCTTACTCTCTAGACTTAACTGTGCGTATTTTGAGGGCAGAGACTATCCCATTCATATCAGTATCTTCCGTAGTGCTGAAGCATTCAGTAGACACTCGATAAGTTTTTGCTGAATACAAATGCCAACATACCTGTCCTTATTTCCTATGTAAAACCACAGAAATTTTCGCAGAGTCTTAAATCAAATGAGGGTTCAGAATCAAGACCATGAAAGATTCTTATAAACTACTGTAATCAAAATTACTTTTCCAATTCATGCAATGGTGGTGGCGTGCCCACCAAGAAAATCTCAGAGTCTAGCTTTATGCCTTACTTGATCATACAGAAAGTCTAAAGATGGGACAACAAAAACTTTTCCAGTTTTAGTGCTCTGTCCATTTGAACATAAATTTAAACAGCCCCCAACCCCAAAAGAGCTAGAGGAGCTTTGATTGAGTTAAAATATATATTATAAATCTTTATGCAAATAATGTGGCTGTGATATATTGTATTTAAATATTTAGGATCTTTCATGGAATTTATTCTTAACGTTAGAAAATACTTATCAGAGTGTTGAAGGAACTCTTCTAACTTTTTTAAATTAAATCATAGCTGTGGACATTAATACAGTCATGGGGTACAGTGTGCTGTTTTTATAAACAGTTTGAAATATTTTCATCCAATTGGTTAACACAGTCTTCATGGCATCCTCTTAGTTATTGTGTTAAGACATTTATATTCTACATTTAGAAAGATTCCCTTGTACCCTTGTAAGATGAACCATAGGCGTGATCCCACCAATCACCCTCCCTCCACTCATCCTCAGATAACTTTTGAAGAACAATTCTGTTTTATAGATGCAGAAATGAGGCAAAACATGTTTCACAGGTGGCCTGTGGCAGTAAGGGAAGGACCCAGGTTTCTAAGCCCCCCGCCCCCATTCAGAACACCCTCAACGTTCTCGCAATGAAGACATTGAAATGTGAGTGGAAGCCCCCCTTTCACTGCTTGCCCCTTTGGAAGCTGCTTACCTCGTCATTCCAAAGTCTGACACTTTCACAGAGAGATCACTGTCCACCAAGCAGTTCCGTGCAGCCTTTGAAGGAAAAACAAAATCACCAAGTGGTGAAAGTGACCAAGAACCTACCGACATCAGAGTCGGGCACTTTCTTTCTCTCCACCAGAAGTCTCAGCAGAATCTCAGATTGCTTATCACAACCCCAAATGCTCTGAAGTGGTCTCTTTTTTTCTACTTTGCAATTTTTAATTTTCCAAAATAAAAATATACTCCCAGAGGTATGTTCACCCAAGCATCCATCTTTGTCAAACAATTTGAAAGGTATTATATTTTAAGCACAGACTCTTAGCTTATCAAAGGGAGAGGAGAAATTTCTAGGAACTCCCTTTCCACCACCAGATGCCACACATTAACAGACACTTTGAGGGCGTAAACACTATACCAGTGACTTATGAAACACACTAGCCTAGTGTACTGTTCAGCACAAGAAAAATCTCTAAAGAGAAATCTCAGTGAATACAGAACACAACACTCCCCACTCCCATCCTGATCCAAAGATACACACAAATTTCACTTCCTTCTGCATTTTTGTTTTTGTATTTTCAGTTGTTATATCAAATGACTGCTTTAGCACCAAGCCCTTCCTGGAGTAAAGGTCAAATTGGGTTTAATGGTTCCAGGAAGCACTAAACTGGCTGAAGTCTTTCCTTTCCATCTGTTCTCCTTTATACCACAGCACAGCTCTGTAGATCTTGACGACTTATTTTATTTTACCATTTTTTCCATATTTCACATATTTTATTTTAAAACTGTGATTTTTATTATAGAAGTGCTATGTGCTTAAGCAAGTTGCCAGTGAGCAGGGTAAAAATGGTGCCCCTCTTGGCTTCCCTTCCAGTGGCCCCATCCCTAGAGGTGGGAACTGTGGACTGTATGCACTTCCTTTCCTTTTTTGAGCTTCCAAGGGTTTTGCTTACCAAGTCCCGGTGTATGAATTGCTGGCTCTCCAAGAAGGCCATGCCTTCACACACGTCATAGCACATTTCTAAGAGCTGGGAAGTTTCAAGTCCTTTTCCATGACTTCTCAGGTAATTCAGCAAGCAGCCATTGGTTATATATTCAGTCACTATGTATATGGGGTATTTCTTTGAACAAACTCCATAGAATTTAACCAGCTTGGGATGGCTGAGTTTCCTAGAATAATAGATTTTCAAATTCAGTACTCCATACAGCGTTTTCCAAATGTCCCCCAAAAGAATCACTCTCAGATTTTTGTTTATTTTAATCCCTCCTACTTGAATAAATAAGAGGAAAAAGTTTAGGATCGTATATTGTGGGCAAACAGCCTCTGGGAGCAAAAAATGCCAACTCGGTCATTGGCACCACCACCAGCAATTTAGCAGTTTCAGGACGGACGCTGTTTTCAACTTTCCTACAGAGAATCAGGGTAGCAATGGTCTGTTGCCTTGGAAACCCTGTTTAGTCCTGTGGCATCTTGGGAACTTCCATGGCTGATTTAGAGGCAGCCACATCCTAAGAACAATCACTTCCATTTTAAGGCATCTAACTTTCTAGTCTATATGTTTCATTTCAAAACACACATCAGAATATGAAGGGTGTAGGTAAAATGAAAATAGTTGCCAAGTTAGGGAAGTGAGATTAGGCATGAGTTTTCTTTCTTTTTAAAAATATCATTTTACATTATTTTTGACATTATTTTTTCAATAATAATCTTAGAGAATAGTAACCACATGACAAACACCTCGGGTAGGTCAGGAGGGGATGGATACTCAGTTTTCATAACTTCATCAACTTGTCCTTACATGATTTATCTATTTTTATCAATTTACAGGATGATGCCTTAATGTTTAGATGCGCAAATTAAATCAAAATGGAACATATGACAACTTTAAAATTTTTTGATACGTGAGGTTTTTGGAAATCTTTAGCTATTTTCTTCTTTTTCAGTTGAACCAAGGAACATGGCTTATCGGGTGACTCAGGTGATGAGCTCAGATAACGCATCTTTCAGCAATTTGAGAACTCCACATGGTACTCAGCACTGCTCCCCTCAACACAAAGGCCTGTGGTAGAACAAAGGCCAATAAAAACTGTTCTTTGAGCAAATTCAGTCACTCCTCAGGGGCTCACAGTGGGACTAGCAGCGTTTACCAACCTCTTATCTCACAGCACACTTGAACCTATAGTTAAACTTCCACGACACACTTAAATTATGTTGATTTCCCCCCCAAAAGGGTACGAAAAGAATATATTTACTGTGCTCTGAACTTCTTTTGAAAAGAATTTAATGAATGATCTTTAAAAACTTTCGATGCACCCTAGTTGAAAATCACTGGACTAGCTATGTCAACTGACTCTCCCTATAAGCTAGGCCTCACTTGGGCCACTACCTTTGAGATTTAACATTTCCCACTGTGGCACAGTTTGACATCTTTCTTTATGAGCAAATGGGTTGTTAATGATCATTTATGATTCTTTATGATGACTAGCTCAGTAATGGAAAAAAAAGTAGGTTTTAAAGTTATACCAGGACCCAGGGGTTACACTATAAGCCTAAGAAAGTTTTTGCCAGGTTTTTCTTTTCTTTTCTTTTTTTGGTCCTACAAGAGAAGGATACCAAGGACCTTTCCCCCAGTTTTACTTGTTAAATTTTATTTTATTTTATTTTCCTTCCTAGTTTTACAATAGTCAAATCACTAAAGACAGAACCAGCTATGTAATTTGCAGGTACTAGTGCAAAATGAAAATATAAGCGCCATTGTTCAAAAGTTATTAGGTATTGCAAAATGGGAAGAGCAGGGTACAAGGCCAAGTGCAGAGGCCTTCTGGGTACTGGGGTCCCTGCAACTGTGTAGGTCACGTGAGCCCAGGAAGCCAGCCCTGGCCAAAGGCTTATATTCACCTTTTGGCAATTATGGTAAAAGTGATTGTTCTGGATTTCCTTGTTCCTTTGGTTTTCCTAAAAGAATGGCTAAGGAAATGCACACTGGGATGCCTGCCTGTGTTTACATCTCTGCTTAGCCACTTCTACTCGCTTGATGACTTTGGGCAAGGTATTGAACATTTCTGTGCTTCAGTTTCCTGTAAAACAAAGATAACAATAGTACATGCCTCACTGGCTTCTTACAAGCATTGACTAAGCTAATATTTATAAAGTGCTTAGAAAAAAGGCTATAAACAATGTACAGTATAAATTTTTAAGTAAAAAAAAAAAAATTTAAAGTGCTCTCAATATGTAGCAGGCTGGAATTTGTGATTTCGACCATCTTTGACCAAAACCCTGTTATAAGGTTGTTTTTCATACCGTGATGATTGGTCCCCTAAAAGTAGAGTGATCAATTTTCCTAGTTTGTCTGGGAAGGAAGAGTTTCCTAGGACACAGGACTTTCAGTGCTAAAACCGGGAAAGTTCTAGGCAAACCTGGATCTGGATGGTGGTTATCCTACCAAGTCTGGTTCTCTATGGTAACAAGAAGAGGTAATGTTATATGGATGAGAGAGAGAGAGATATGAAGAGGGAGAAGAGACAAGAAAGTGAATACATATGTATTGCCCAGAACTGAGGAGTGCTTGGACTCCATTAGGAAGGGTATCTTCATTTATCAGGCCAGGAAAGAAGTAGGGTGAGAAAGGGAATTTTTACCAGACTGTACTGAAGATACTAAGCAGAAAGGACGTGGTTGGTAGAGCATTAGTTTTAGCCCCACTCTGTCCCTCATCCCACATGCACTTCCCCCAGATCAAGGAGGCCACAGGTTCAAAGAGACACCACTACTCAGAGCCTATATGCCCCCTTCTTAGCCACTTTGGAGTACCAGGACTCTGAGTTCCCTGTTCATGTAGTGCTAGGTCCTCTTCCAGGAACTGTCCAGATTTTTCCTTGAGGGGTCTGTTCTCTCAAGGGTGAACCATACTACCTCTAGCTAAAGTAATTAACCAACAGATAACTGTTGGGAGGGAGCCTGTAAGTACCGAGTGCTGTGGTTGGTACTGAGGGTCCAGTACTGAGGGCCCTTATAGCGGGATGGAGCTGGGGATGGAAGGAGAAGGAGAGGGCTGGGATTTGGGGGACCACCGGCCAGAGGCTGATTTCTCTACAGAGTTTTGAGAATTCTAAGTTTGAACATGGCCTTTCAGGTTGTTATGAAGGTATGTATACTCATCAAAGTGGGAGGTCGGACCTATTTTATTTAACAGTTTATTTAGCTTGATTTATAATTCTAAGTACTTCTATCCATGATAGAGTATGTGGACTCTTGCTCCAGGCTTTGCATGTGCTAGCAACAGACCCATTAGTGTTAATACCCTCCTATGGTGACCGCTACACTGCTATTCCACAGGAGAAACTTACATCATGGTCTGGGCCTCCTGGAAGAATTCATCTTCTGACATGGAGCCCTCCTTGATCATCTTAACAGCCACATCATACTGCCCTTTCCACTTGCCCAGCTGGACCACTCCGAACTGGCCACTTCCCAGCTCCTTCAACAGCGTAATTTCTTCTCTTTTGAGTTCCCACATGCCTAATAGGACAAGACAGACACTCTTGAGGACGAACATAGGCTTTGGGGCTAACAGCTTCCCAAATAATTTCCTCTCCAATGAGAATTTCACACTGACAATAGGAACAAGAGTTTTATTTTAGGTTGATAACTTCAGTAAATCCTTAGTTATGTGGTCTTATGACCATATGACAGCGCCATCTAGGACAAGACTGTCCTCGAAGTAGCTATAGTTATTGACAGGAAGGCTCAATGTAAAAACACTTTGCCAACCAGAGGCATCTTGGAGAGGCCCAATGGCAAAATGTGCTCAATGTCCTTAGGTCAATGAAATATTGTTAGATTTTCTTATAAAACCAATGAAACTGTGATCTGAGTGGTTGTTATTATGCTAACACGCAAGGTCCAAGACTGGCTCTGCTGATCCACTGAACAGGCAGAGAATCCAGAAAAAAGAAAGGATAAGCAATGAAATGCTGGAAGGTGGATGGGATCTAATAGGAGGAAAAACTTGACAGTCTCTTTTTTTGTAATTCTGGGAACTTTAAGATTTAGACTAGGAGGATAGATTTTTTTTTTTTAATGAAAATCCCCCATGCCACAATCTGATCAGGGAACTCCTTCCTGTCTTCCCTCCCTTTTATTAGTAAGTCAACCACATATTTTAAAACTCAAAAGGGGTTTAAGAGCCCAAGAGTGTGTCCATACCAGTTCCCAGGGACACAGAGACGGGGACCTTGTTGGCCTTGGTTGACACAGGGTGGCGGAGCCGTGTGATCATGCCTGCAAAGGAACCGGCATCATATCATCACGTCATTACGTCATACGCTATCACACTACACATTGGTTCACAATCAGTCTCTCTCCAGAGCAGCCTAAATGCAAAGCGCTCAGGATATTGTGACGTGGAGAGAGAATCCATTCTGACTATACTTATCTTGTATTAATTGACTTGACAATTAATTAGCTCAATGCATAGAAGAAGATAATCAAGTAAGCCACTTATGTGATTTTTTCTAAAAGATTCCATAGAAGTTCGTTGCCTGATGGAATCTTTTATTTTAAATTTTTTTCCCATTTTTATCTTGGTATCTCTTTATAGGCCCATACTTGAATGTATATACTCACGGCATATACATTTGGCAAAAATTCGAACAATACAGAAAACCAAACCCGTCATTACATTTTATTAAATGATCAAGGCATTTGAATTGTTTACAGTGAGTTATAATAAAGCTGGGGTGACAATAATGATAATATGTATAGTGGTTTGAAAGAACTCAGTCAAAAAACACGCTGTTTGCTTTAAATGTGGGATGTTTCCCAGGTCACAGGAAGTATCACACGTGTGCTTTTTCCTTCATTCTTTTCTCTATATTTTTGTTTGGTTTTTATATGCGTGGTCTCCAAACTTTTAAAATCCTCCACCTTTAATCCGTACGTAAATAAATTAAATAAAATATAAAATTTAAAAACGCGCACATTCCTCTGAAATCTGTATATATACAACTCTTGTTCTAGTAATATTGTGAGACTTATAGAATACATGCACCAAGAGAAAACTTAAGGGAATGAGATTTCAAATACCCACATAAAGAAACATTTTAGTAGTTTCTCTCTATACGCTGTAAAGTTTCCTGTACATCCATCCTCTCGGGTGGAATCATTCCATTTGGAGATGGCCGTTTATACAATACCTTTGCCAAAGGTACTTTTGAGGTACTTCAGATTAATATAAACAACTGAGGAAATTGGGGCAAAGGAAAAATCCAGGTAAGAACCCAAAGGACAGGCAGAGCGAGGCCACTTCACCTCTGCGCCACTTGACATCAAGTCATGTAAAGCAGCACAAACCTGACACTGAGCCGATGGCTCATTTTTACTCACTGTTGGAAATCCACGCAGTTACTGCACTTAAGTGGCACTAGTCTAGAAAAATAAGAGGGTATGACTCTGTATATTTTGACCAATTAGGCAAAATGTTGGAAGAACAATACATAGTAGCCCCCATGTTGAGAAATCGTTGTTAGTGGGATTGTACATTTCTGAAAAGCATTTCGCGATGTCTACATTTTCAGTGTTCTTCATCTTTGTCTCAAAAAGTGCACTCTGTGAATTTGGTTATGGAGCCGCTCCTATGGGTGCACAGAGCTATGTGTGCAGGACTGCACCCTGGAACAGCTGTTGTGATGCGACAATATTGTACAGGATCCAACTGCTGATCAAGAGAAGGCTAGGGAAATGAATCATGAGGTAATTCTACAATAAAACTGCATATTAAGTAGACCGAGGAAAGCTATATGTATTTGCATGGAAAGACCACTAAGACGTGTTGAGTAAAGAAAGCAAGCAGAGTTACTGAATAGGTACAAGGTGCACTACTTGGGTGATGGTTGCATTAAAAGCACAGATATTACCACTATGTACTATATCCATGTCATAAAACTGGAAAGGATAAAAAGAAAAGAAAAGTAAAGCAAGCACGCAAGCCGAACAGTCTGAATGGAATGACTTGAACTCTGTAAACTGCGTCACTAGATACTGGTCACTATACAGAGGTGGTCAACATAAGGAACTAGGCCTCCTGTATTGGTACGTACACGTAGTGCATGTCCGGTCTATGAAAATTAGGTTAGCTTAAGGAGGTGGTCAACGCAAGGAGGTGGTCCTAGTGTGACATCTATCTATATGTATAATCAATAATAGGTGTTGGTATCAGTGTGCAAAGATATCTGTCAGAATAGACACCAACTTGTCCATGGAGGTTAGCCATCCAATAATACATATTTCTATAATATTTGAATTTTATCATCAAATTGCTTCTGTAGGCAGAGAGAAACCCTGCAAATATTTTTTAACCAAGATTTCTTCTTCAAAATCACGCAGTTCATTCCAATTCATTCTTTCTGGCATGGTAGAGTGTATCACGCTATTTTCTAGGAAATGTAAATTAAAAGTCAGACCAACCACAGGACTTATGAACATTTTTTTTTTTCTTACTTTCATCATTTCCTAGATAGTTAGGGATATTAGGACAGTCAGTAGCATCCAAGAAAATGTATATTTATTGACACGGACCCATAAAAGAAAAAACTCAAATAAGTTACCTGCTGAATTGTGTTGATGATAGTGAATAAGTTTGGGAATGGAATCAAAACAGTAGTTTTCTGCCAGGTATAACTTTTTCTCAGCATTTGTATGCACATGGTAATGTTTGACAGTTCCTTTTTTATCACTAATAAAAAAGAATGTTAGGAAATTTTAAATAAACAATTAAAGCTTGAGTAAACAATGGTGAAATAATCATTTTAGATGCACTTGAGTAGTTTGGGAGAGGGAAGTCAGGGAGGGTTTCGACACCAGTCTTGACATCTGCTGTTTTCCTGGAGGTATCCATGACAATAATTATGGAAGTGGGCTCCTCTCTGAGCTCACCATACCCTTTGTACATATTCATGTGAATAAAATTCCAACTTTCTAGACTGTTTCTGTCTTGGTAAGTGTATAAAACTTTAATGCTTGATGACTGCGAGCCTTGCAGTGCTTCAGGATCATTATTCTGAACATAAACTCTCTCTAGGGATAATAATGGAGATGGAAATGTGGAGTTGAATCAGGTAATTAGGCTCTAGGTATTCTCCCTCCAGAGCATGAGTGGGGGGCTCTGTTGGAAGTGGGGTATGAAAGATGAAGTGGGGGAGGAGGTCCTTTAAATCCTCATGCGAACTGGTACCTTTTCCACATAAAACATTTGTTTTTCTTTTCCTCTACCTTTAAGAAATAATGATGAATTGGTGCCCATTGGTTTGATTGTTGATTGAACTGATGCAGAATGGAATAGTGGTCATGAAATAGACTTTGAGTTTAGTTCTGCTTGCAAGCTACCTCATCTGGTTGGTTTAAAGATTGGATGAGATATTTTAGACATGAATATATATATATTTACTATGCTTGGCATGTAAGAAAGTTAATAAATTGTTGTTGTAACACCAACCTAGTTAAAACTTGCAGTTATAAAGGGAGAAAGGATGCTTTTCTGTTGCAAAAGGCTAATCAGCTCTTAGTGGCCACGTGGAATTCCCTCAAGCCCATTCTAGGTTGGCTTTAGCCAGCATCCGGGTTACCATGAGTATTCTAGCATATGAGGCACAGGGAGCATGGCTTCTGACATTGGAAAATGCCATGTAACTGCTCAGGGTGTGTCTTATTATCTCAAGTTGGAGGTAGGTGCTCTGTAAAAAACATTCCCCCAGGGTGGCGCCTGTGGCTCAAAGGAGTAGGGTGCTGGCCCCATATACTGGAGGTGGCAGGTTCAAACCCAGCCATGACCAAAAACTGCAAAAAAAAAAAAAAAAAAAAATTCCCCCAATAAAATAACTTTTTTATTACTTAATTATAAATATGCACAGACATATGTACTAAGGGGAGGGACACACAGCAATGGCACCAAGGCAGAGTCATTCAATCTAGCCACTAAAAAAGGGTTGCACACATTAAAAAAGCTTTTATTTTTCAAATGGCCCTAATCAAGGCTTGAGCAGATTCTCATTCCTAAACCTTGGGGGTTTCAGTGTAGGTGCAGAGGTGTGGAGGAAGGAACCTGCCTTGGCTGTTGGAGGCCCAACTTCAAGTCAGTCGCTTATTAGTTTTGTGGGCAGCACTTTATAATCTCTTTTTGAGCCTCAATCCTCTCATCTGTAAAATGGTGGGAATAAAAACTGCTTTCCTATTTGCTTTGGAGGGCGATTAGAAGGAACAAAGGAGCTGGGCGGTGCCTGTGGCTCAGTGGGCAGGGCACCGGCCCCGTATACCGAGGGTGGTAGGTTCGAACCCGGCCCCGACCAAACCGCAACAAAAAAAAAAATGCAGGGCAGGGCACTGTGGTGGGCACCTGTAGTCCCAGCTACTCGGGAGGCTGAGGCAAGAGAATCACCTAAGCCCAAAGCTGGAGGTTGCTGTGAGCTGTGATGCCACAGCACTCTACCGAGGGTGACAAAGTGAGACTCTTGTCTCAAAAAAAAAAAAAAAAAAGGACAAAGGAGCTAACAAGCACTGGGTAAGTGGCTGACAAAATTCTCGAGAGAGACCCTCATGTTGGTGATGGTGACATGCATGAGATGCCTGTGGGGTATCTTATATGCCTAAGTGTTGAGGTGTGGGGAGTGGAGCAGGTAGACCTGCTCTTTCCTGGCAACAACCAAATCATAGCAATTGCTGTTAGTTACTAACATGCCAGGCACTGTTCGGATCCAATATATGCATTAACTCAATTCATCCAGGGAGCATAATAATCATCATTGTGTTCCCTTTTCAGAGGACGAGGTTGAAATGCCATGTGATGTTGCCCCTTAACAGAAGTTAAGAAACTTGCTCAATGTCATAAAACCCTGAAATGGTAGAGCCAGGATCTAGAAGTTCTGCTTCAAAAAAGAGGGAAGCTGCACTGTTGAGACACAGAGACACAGCGGCACTGTTGACCTTCTGTGGACTCTGCTTCCCGGCTCGGCAGGTGGCCCGGGCTGAGAGCATAGAGGCTTCATTGCTATTTTCCTTCTTTCAAGGCTGAGGCCTTGAATTGAAGGGAATCACCCAGGAGCCTTTCAATCAATATTCACTGAGGTGTGCCCTACTCTGGACACTCTGCTGTTGCCTGCGGTGGGCAGGAGACAACAGCCTCTTAAAAGTAGCGGTCACAGAAGGTTAAGTACAAATGGTCGCACAGAACAGAAATACTTTGATCCCAAATTCTAGAGTTTAAAGGTGATGCCTTATCCCTAAATGTGATTAAGCGGCCAGCATATTCAAGAACATACACAGAAAGATAAAGGAAATCAACCCTTGAAACACTTACTTCACAGCCTTACTAAATAATGAGACCGTGTACATTCCTGCTTGGCTGGAGTTTCTAACCATAAATGCTCCTTCTTTTCCCTGAAAAGGAAGGAAAACGTAGAAGGAACAGAAAACATTTTTGTTACTCTTGGCAATGATTTTTCACGGTAGGTGGTAGGAAAATCTTTTGGATTCACTTTAAATGTCACCAAGGGCACAAGTTATTTAACTGTTGGCAGAGAAGGGGGCCCACACTTTGGCTTTCCTCCTTTTCTCACGCATTATCTTTATGGATCTATTCTGAATGCTTCAACTTTTCCTCTCCAGTTATTTTTAACCCTCTCTGATCATTTTCTCTGCTCCGTACTTATGCAAGATGGTCTCATCTTATGAAACCAAATTTAGATTTACATATCACCACATCTTGCCCGTGGACAACTGCAGAAAACCAAAGATCCAGAATCAATCGTTTGTTAAAATTCTACACTCAGCTTGTCTTTCTCAATGCCTTGCGCTAATTCTAAGCAGATTCAGATTCAGAAAGAGCCGATGATAAACCATGACTATGACAAAGACCACCAAATGAGGTCATCACATTCTCACTAGCACCCTTTGAAGAAATGGTTGGTGTGTTTAGTGTTTTATCAGGTTAAACTACATCAAAAATGGCCTCTTTAGAGATCACGAGAGTTTGCTATTGGTAATTCCATATCAATTAGTAATAAATCAGATTCACGTATTCCCTATCACATCTGGTGTACTTTGGTCTAGGTGCCAATGAGCAGTGACAGAGCTGATGGCTGCAATAAATCACCTCTCTTATGGATGCCCTGAGCAGTCCCCTCCCACCCTGACTCTGGGCTGGGCCACGTGACTTGCTATGCTCCATGAGACCTTAGCAAACATGCAAAAGCAGGGACTCAATGAGTGCTGACACTGTAGAGCTTGTCCTCTTTGACCACTGCCGTGCTGTGAGGAGGCCCACGGCAGGCGCATGGGCAGGCTGCCTGGAGAACTCTAGGCCCTAGCTGACTGCCTCAGCTAGACCCAGCTGCGCAGTCAGTAAATCAGCCAAAGGCAGCCACATAGCCACATGAGCAACCCTAAACAAAACCTGCTGAAGAACTGCTGGCCCAGCTGACTTGCAGAACCACGAGAAATCATAAGCCACTAAATTTAGGGGTGGCTTATCACAGAGCAGTAGATAATAGAAACAGACGTGGCTAAACACGAAAGGCCTGGTAACCAATACACTAGACAACCAATGCTATGATGTCTTAACTATCCGATTAGCAGTGAAGTTTCTACGAGAAGTGGTTTAATCTCTGGGCCCCAAATTAGAAAGGGATTCTGTGAAATTATTTTAAAGATAAGACTATTTACCTTTTGTCTCAGTAACTGCTCAGATTGCGACCTGGAGATGTTACCTGCAAACCAGCTTCAAAAGAAAAGAATTCCATATTTAAGAAGGAGTACTTTTTAAATTACATAATTTGGCACTCAACTTTCTAATCTGTAAAATGAGGCATTGGTCTACATCAGAGCTTTCCAAATCTGACTGCTTAAGTGAATCATCTGAGGGGCTTTTCAAAAATACAGATTGAGTCCCCACCACCCAATTCTGTTTCTGGGTTGGGGCCTACACACATCTGAATCTTTAAATGGGATAATGTCTAGGAACCTTTGGCTTCCTCCTAGGTGATCTCTAATTTCTCCTATATGTCACCATGTTGAATGAAGACCAGAGATTAGAATAATGAAGAATATTCCAATGGGATATTCAAGGTTGCCATAGATGAAAACTCTTTCAACTCTGTCATTTCCTTTGAATAATCTGATAGAAGCACATGCTCTAGCATCTATTTTCAATGCAAATGCTGTTTTAAAATGATTTTTATTTCCAGGATAGCAATAGATAAGCATCTAAGATGATATTAGGATAAGGGCAGTTGCACTGAACTGAGAAGAAGCTGATGTGGCAGGTGTAATCTGTAACTATTGCCTCTTTTACTACGTTACCCAAGAACATCACGTTCTACTTCATATGTGGAATCCGACAGGCCAAGAGCTATTTCTCATGTGAGGTCAACAATGCCTATGCATTTTTGGCTTTGATCAAAATATGTTACAAAGGAAATGAGTAGGGTGTGAGGTGAAATGGTTCACAGGTTCAGAGAATTGGGAGGACCCCTGGTTAGAAGATAAACCCAAGAAATAAAGACGTATATAAGGAAGAAGAAGGTGGAAGGGAGGAGCTGTAGGAGTAAATCAAGGCAGAAGATGTCTTAACACTTGGCAGGAATGGATGGGACGTGGTTCTCTGTATAATCTCTAGACTACATATTAGTTGTAGAAGAAGATGGCAGCTGGCGGATGGCTAAATAAAGTGGAAGGAGCCTTAGATCAGCCAGCTTGGAGTCTGAGTTCTATACATAACATCCCACTATGTTCACTGTATGACTTTGAACAAGCCACTTAGCCTCTTTTGACCTTGTACTTCCCCATCTGTAAAATTAGAGAAAGGACTGATAAGTTTGATCTCTTCTAATTCTACCATTACAGATACTGTGTAATTAACACTTGAGATAGTAAATGATAACTTTTTCTTATTAGTTAACATTTTAAGCTGCTAATAGCTAATCAACATACCCTTCAGAAGATCTGATCTAAGATATGCTTATCGGGGACAGAAGGAAGGAATGATCAGGTACAAGAAGAGAGGCCTGCAGAGGCAAAGTGAGGTGGTGTACATACCCTACTCATCCTTCACCTCCCACTCACAAACTTTGCTTGTGTCATAATTTTGCTGAGGTCTGGCCCTGTTTGTCTTTTAAAATATTTCACTATTTCAATGTCAGGTCAGCAGAGGCCTAAGCCTTGTCTTCACCCATCATTTCCCATCTAAATCTTGGTGCCTTTGCCTTTCATGGAATGGAGTAGAATTGCTCATGAAGTTGTGCCCGTAAAACAAATGCTCCAATGATACCAATAGAATAAGAAGCTGTGGGCCTCCAGGATGATGCGAGAAGGCTGAGCACCAGCTCATACAACCCTGTAGTCCTCAGCTCCCTTTGGCATCTCCTTGATTTTGAAAAGGACAGGTTTTTCCTGATAATTTCCACAATGTCCGTCTCTCTAGCACCACTTAAATCCAGAAAAGATGGGGGTAAAGACTGCCTAAATGACTAGATCTGGGCTTTCTGTGTCACAGAAAGACTTCCAATTAATCTAAATCCTAAAGACTAAAGTGCACCATTAGTCACCCCCATTGGCTTAAGTCTTTGTCTTCTGTTAAAGTGTCATTATCTTTGGAAATGAACGTGTGTTGGTACTTCTTAGTCTTTTCTGCCTTTTTATGAATTATTCCATCAGATGCTTTCTGAGGTAGATGTTAAGGGAAAAGGAAAGGCTAAAAGGGGCTACAAGGTGGTGAAGAGACCATCTGCAAAGAGGTGGAGGATACAGCACATCTTCCCCAATGGGACAGGTGTGCCAGGGCCAGGCTGGGTTAGACATGGAAGAAGGAGTGGAAATGGTACCTTGTGCTTTGTTAAGACTCTCATTTCATCTGTAGTCAATAAATCAGTAACATGATTCTTGTATAAAAACAGAACTAGAAATATGCATAATCCTAATGTTCAAATGAATTTTGTGCCATTGGGTATCGAGTATCTGAGAAATATAATATACTCCATTATTCTCACCTCTTCTTAACACCAGCGGTTCTCAATCTGTGGGTCGCGACCCATAGGAACTGTATTAAAGGGCCGCCGCATTAGGAAGGTTGAGAACTGCTGCCTTAACACTAACCTGTAAGTCTTGGAGACAACATTTTTTCCCTGTTGGTAGAATGATAGAACCTTAGATTTTCCAAAGTACCTTAAGGGCCACTTAGGTCAACCTGTCCCAGTATAGTTGGGATGACCACATTCTTATTTTCCCAGAAGAGTCCAGTTTATGCCCAATGTTCAGGTATTATTTTTAATGTTCACTTTTTATCTTTCTAAAGTATCCCAATTTGGATATTAAATGATAAGGTTACCCTAAGAATAGAAATCTTATTTACTTTTTTTTTTTAAGAGACAGAGTCTCACTCTGTGACCCTCAGTAGAGTGCCATGGTGTCATAGCTCACGGCAACCTCCAGGTCTTGGGCTTTTGTGAGTCTCTTGCCTCAGCCTCCCAAGTAGAGAATAGAAAATTTTCAACATAAATACCGTCATGTTCAACATCTCAGCTGTGCTACCTTGTAAAACTACTTCATCATAAATAACTTCCCCCCCTATCTGTCTCAATCTTAATAAGAGGTGAAGCCTCCAGGAAAGAAATATTGAATGGAAACATCATATGCTATATCTACAAAAACAAAGTGAAATGAAGGAGTGTATTATAAATCCAATGAATATGTACAGACAACTTAGGTAATCCAGATTGGGGGATGATATTTTCATTGATAATGACCCAGCTCATTGTCACCCATTATCTAGATAAAAGGCCCAGAATCTCACATGATTTTAGCCATGTGAATGCAGCCCCTTGAGAAAGTCTGAACCATCAATTTTAATGCCTTTGAGGAATACAGTATTTATGTCTAGTTTTAGAGGAACACAGAGGACTTGCAACACTCACTCATAATCATCCAGGTTTTCTTCTTCTTCCGATGAACTTGATTCAGGGAATCCTGAACTTGACTCAGGGAATCCCCTTAAGAAGAGTTGGGAAACAACATGCATGCCAAAATTATACTAAGAAATAATCCAAGTGCCTAACAGTGCAGTATCAATTCTTCCCCTCCTCTTATCCACATGTCTAATATTTAGACTGTTAGGTTTCCCTTTCTGTGCAAAGAGAGTCACTCAAGCATGAATGAGGTAGATGTTAGGAAGGTACCCAGGAGGCACCCAGAACTTGGATTTGTTTGACTTTTCCTGAAGAGTGAGCTCATGAAATAGGTGCAGACTCCTTCAGGGATGACTGTACTATAAAGTTTAAAAAAAGGTCTTAGGTTATGTATAGAGCTATTCAAGAGTTAGTCAACCCTAGGTTGCTTTTCCTCCTGCTAGAGATGCCTGAGCAAGACGTGTTAATGTTTGTGGTAATACCAGTGCATATCATGAACTCTGGTCAGGAAAAATCAATGTGAGAAGAGCTGTAACCCCTAAGCCATCCATTCAAATCCACCTCCCTTAAGAGGCAAACTATGTGGATTTTATCTTTTTGAGACAGAGTCTGACTCAGTTGCCCTGGGTAGAGTGCGATGGCATCATAGCTCACAGCAACCTCAAACTCTTGGGCTCAGGGGATCCTCTTGCCTCAGCCTCCCCAGTAACTGGGACTACAGGTGCCCACCACCACAACCACCTAGTTTTTTCCTTATTTTTAATAAAGATTGGGACTCACTCTTGCTCAGGCTGGTCTCGAACTCTTGAGCTCAAGCAGTCCACCTGACCTGGCCTTCTAGAGTGCTATGATTACAGGCGTGAGCCACCACGCTTGGTCTTACATAAACATTTTGTGTTTCTATTTATCTTAAATGTAAAGCCTAGTTGCAAAATTTTTGCAGGTTTGGTTAGTTTCCCTGCAAATGGGAGCAAATGCTGGATGTAAAGGAATATCTGAATTTGATTTACCACGAAATCTTTGAGGTTCTGTGATTTGCGACGTTTCTTTCCTTTTGGTTACTGCATGCAACATCTTCAGTGCTAGAGAGGGAGACAGGTATGGTTCAGAAACTTACAAATTTATGTCTACGTGCAAATGACAAAAGTAATTTTGTTCAGATATGCATTAGCTTTATTTGACTTCTTTTTTTGAGATGTTGCCCCAGGCTAGAGTGCTGCAGCATCAGCCTAGCTCACAGCAACCTCAAACTCCTGGCGATTCTCCTGCCTCAGCCTCCCAAGTAGTGCCTTCCACGAAACCTGGCTAATTTTTCTACTTTTAGTAGAGACAGGGTCTCACTCTTGCTCAGGCTGGTCTTGAACTCCTGAGTTCAGGCGATCCACCCACCTCGGCCTCCCAAAGTGCTGGGATTACAGGCAGGAGCCACTGCATCTTGCCTTTATTTGACATTTTGACCTGCACATTTCACTTGGTTTGGAAATTTTAAGCTAACGAGTTACTTACACATTTTAGTCCTTCCAGAGACACCAAGAAAAAGAAGTACTTGACAGTGTTTCTAAACAAATTGTTAATAATGGCTCATAGGGATCCCAAACAATAGAAAATCTGGCTTCGTAAATCATCTTGACTGTGTTTGCCCTGATTTCCTTGTAGATAGGCAAGCATTCTGTCACTTACATATTTTAAAATAAGTTATTTTCCTCTTGGCTGTGGTGGTTACAATTAAAAGTCTTGGAGACGCTGAACTTTAACTCCATCTGGACCCAGACTGATGAGCAGGATTTTCATCACTTTCTTGGCAGCCATCATCTTATCTCATTCATTTGGGGTATTAAGCAGAGCATGAGGAAGTACCTACTTCTCAGAGACCAAAGGCTGTTTCCTCTGGAATGTAGGACCTCTTCCCGTTTGCCTTCCTTAGCCAGGAAATGCTCCTCTGGCTTCATTTCCAGGAATGCCTGGGAAAAGCCCTAATACTAGAAGCCCCTCTCCTCACCTTCCCAGAAGACTTGTCCACTCGGTTAGCTTTTTGGCTTCATTTTTTCATAAGAAAATTCTCACTTTGAGAAGCCAAGTAAATTACTGAGCCTTCTTGTTCTTTTTAAGAACACATGGAAAAGGTCCATCTAATAGCGCATCACTTGGGTTTATCCATATAACGGAGGCCTCATAGGCATTCCAATTAATCAGGTAGGTTGCCCAATAATGCGAATCTACTTAACACTACTGAACGGTATGCTTAACATAATCGAGATGTTTAATTTTATGTTATGCGTACTTCATTACAACCAAAATTAAACTAAGCTTTAAAGAGTCAAGTGTATCCTTATATAGTCGAATGGGAAGAATGGTGAACTTGTGAAATTAAAAGAACAAGTGAAGAAGAGTGTGTAGGGAGATTCTGCTTTTGTAATTGTACATATGGTAGCAGGTGCACAGAAAACACTTGAGAGGGGTATACTCTGAATATTCTGCAATATCTGACTGCTTTAAAGGAATCAGGGATTATTTACTCACTAGAAAAAAATAACTCTTAAAAAGTAGCTCAAGTGAAGATAGGAAGAATGACAGAAAGTTGATAAGAAATATTATCAACTAATATAGGAACGGAGAATCATGGCTGCCTTTTAAAAATTCAAGCCCCATGTAGACCTTTGGAAAACGATTATAATTCACTCACAGATGCAATGCTGCTCATGCTAAGAAGTGATTAATCAGTGCTTTGTTCAAGTAAAGTTGCTTGCTGAAGTTCTAGGGACAAATCCAGGGTCGGGACTGAAGCTAGGGGAACGCAACATTCAAGGGCATGTCAAAACTCAGGGCTCAAGGTAACTAGTATTTTAATGAAATGTTTTGTAACATAAAAATGTCTGCCCAAAATCCATGATGATCAAAATATCAACAGTGTAAATAAAGATAGGATCCAGTAACTCATGAGTTGGTTGTGCTGCAGAAACCCCATGTCAATCAACAATTCTTCCTAGCTATTTGCAAACTGGTCAGTGAATTTCACTGTATACTTCCCTTGATGAATCACTGGGGTTTCTGTCCATCCCTGGGGTTTCTGCCAGGGAGGAGACCTGACGCACAGTTAGAATGACATTCCTTCTCCTTGCATTTGGGCTTATCGATCATTTCCTTCCACGAGAATGCTGGGCTACTGGCAAACAAATGTAACCCCTCCCATCAGGCACCAGGTATAGTTTAATACACTTGGAGTCTAGGTCCACTTTGGATGAAAGGGACGATGGCTTGTTATACTGAAAAAATAAAACATCAAGAAGAATACACTCACATTCTTTCAAGTTCCACACGGCCCTGGGGCTGTATCATTGGCACAATGAGGCAGTTGCTTTAGGTAAAAATGATGAGGATGGAAAGAATAAAGGAATAGGAGGACATGGGAGAAAACAAAGAAGAGGGGTCCATGGTGAGCCAGAGGGAGGCTCTGCATCCACTCCAGGGAAAGGCAGACACCTGTAGGGATGCTGATAACTGGGTAAGAAGACGGTGATAGGGAAGGAGCTTAAGGCAGCCAATAAGGAACAAGGAGTCACCTGACCCATTCTATATGGTCATCTCACAGTTCAATTCAACATTTCTTGAGCATGAAGTGTGCCACAGACTTAGTGCCAGACCCCAGATACATGTGATATACACAATTTGCATACTGCCTTTACAGTGTTTTCAATTCTGGTTTTAGATAGAATCTTTAGAGGACCGATCAGGTCAGGAGAGGTGAAGGTATACATCCTGAGAAGGCAAGCCACGGCCTTGCTTGAAATGCTACTTGTCACTTAGCTAGTGACGCTGAAGCATGTTATAAAAGTAAGCCCATACGAAGCTCTTTCATACAAAGGATAGAGTTGAAAGATTGTGTGTTCTTGAATGTGTGGTTATTTGGGGGAAGAGGGATTAGAAAGGCGAGGGAATAAAATGTTCAAGTATTATTTAGATCATTAGATAGGGTAATCTAAATGGAATGCCTGAGCTGCTCAGCGACCCCAGGCTTTTGGCTTAAGCGCTGAACATTTTCTGAAAGGGCAGCCCTAAGGCCTGCATCAACAGCTTTGAGGCTGAGCTTCAAGGCAGTGGGCTAGTGTCTACTCTCCACACGGGGGAGCCAGCATGACAGCTGGGGTTTACCTTTTCAGTTTTCTTACTTGCCACCCGTCAGGGTAGTCTTCCTGTGGAATACACATGTTGACATTTAGCTGGGAGCCATAGTTTTTCTTTGAGTCACTGCTGTCATATTGGGCTGGAGTGGTACTTGAAGATGGTGCATGCATCCTGAACACAGGAACCGCCCGAGGAATCTTCAGCTTTGGAGGACAAAGAATTTTAAAAATATCATCATGAGGCACAGATTCAGGTACTGAGAACTCACAAAGCGTATCAGCTGTCGAAATAAAGAAAGGGAGAAAGAAAGAGATAGCGAGGGAAGGAAAGATGGAAGGAAGGAAGAAAGGAGGCAATTCTAAGTATTGGCAAGGATATGGAGCAACGAGAGCTCTCAGATTTTTGCTGGTTGGAGTATGAAGTGGCACAACAACACTGAACACAACACTTCATTGCAGAAGCTACTCAAGCTAGATGTGCACACACCCTGTGACTCAGAAACTGTATGTATATACTCCACCGTGAAGCCCAAACGTCAAAAAGATGTTCATAGAAGAATTATTTTAATTAGCTAAAAACTGGAAACTATCCAGACGCCCATCAAGAGGATACAATAATAAACATATTGTGATTGTAAGAGGCTGAATCATGGCCTCTCAAAGATGTCCATGTCCTAATTCCCAGAACCTGTTGAAATACTTTACATGGGTAAAAGCAACTTTGTAGATTGTGATTAAGTTAAAGATCTTGAGCTGGGGAGATTATTCTGGATGATTAGGGTGGGGCCTCATGTAATCAAAAGGGCCTTTGTAGTAATTTCTTAGAACAGCAGTAAGAAGCTAATACAGTGGCATATTCACCCAGTGGAATTCTGTACAGCCATGCAAATAAACGACAATTACATACTAAAAAATAAGTGTATCTCATAAATTGAACAAAGAAAGATAGATAACAAATGACTATATGCTTTATGGTTTCATTCCTATAAGGGTCTAAGTCAGGCAAGCAATCTAGGACATTGTGAGTCAGTGACACGTTGTTCTACTTGAGTGTGAGTTATACAGATGTGTTCCGTTTGTGCAAGTTCATCAAGCTGAACACTTAGGATTTGTTTGCTTTTCTAAGTGTATATTTTGCTTCAGTTAAAAATTTGCATCGTATGCGTATGTATCATAGCTGAATTTAATTACTTCACAGTGTGTTTTACTGTTTTTTTCAGCCATATCATTTATTTGGAGTGAAGGCTTTGACATTCTGGGAATTTGGGTTATGTAAGACATTGTTCCCTATGAGCTGTGAGGTTGGTTATCCCCAAAGATAAATGCATTGGAAAGTTCCTTAAATGGAAATCGGAACAGAACATCTAGAGAGTTGATTTCTATTTCCTCCACGCAATGCTCCGGTATAAAACAGAACAAAGGAAAATGTACTTTTCACAACACCCTCTCTGATCTCCAGTTCATTCAGGCACTTTATAATCAAAACAGGCTTAGGAACCTTGGCCACTGATTTGGCTGACCGATAAGTTTCAATATATTGTCCTAAGCATTCTCTGCTGGAGACTGGACGGTTTCTGGCTGCTAAGTTATCTTTTGGTCTTATATTTGTTGAAAATAAACTTTCCTAGCAATTCACCCCTTTTAAGTGCAGGAATTCCAGGACTGTCAGTAAACCACTGAGTTGGCGGTTTCGAATCCAGCCCAGGCCTGCCAAACAGCAATGACAACTACAATCAAAGAATAAAAATAGCAGGGCATTGTGGCAGGCGGCTGCTCATTTGCAGTCAGTCCTCACTCCTACTTTGGCCTCAGGCAAACACTAGTCAACATCTGTCTCTACAGACTTGCCTCTTTTGGCATTGCTCTCAGGTATTTTAAAGGGCCATAATTTTCAAATTTGGGGACTGAAGCACGTATCCAGATCAAAACACCAATAACAAAGGGAAAACTCCAAATCATAAGAATTATTTCCCAGGGCTGCCATAACAAATCACTACATGTTAGTGGATTAAAAGAACAAAAATAGCTTCTTTCACAGTTATGGAAGCCAAAAGTCCAAAATCAAGGTTTCACAAGATCATGCTCCCTCTGAAGGCTCTAGGGGAAAAATGTTTTCTTGTCTCTTCCAGATTCTGGTGTTCTAGGTTGCTATGGGATAGGTGACACCTCTCAACCTTATGTTGAAATTTGATCCCTGGTGTTGAAAATGGGGCCTAATGGGAGGTGTTTGGGTCATGATGGTAGACCCCTCATGGATGGGTTGGTGCCATTCTCCTGGTAGTGAGTGAGTTCTTGCTCTATTAGTTCTCACAGGAGTTGATTGTTTAAAAGCGCCCGGCACCTTCTACCTGTCTGTCTCTTGCTATTCTTGCTTCTTCTCGTGCCATGTGATCTCTGCACATGCAAGTCCCCTTTGCCTTCCACCATGAGTGGAAGTAGCCTGAGGCCCTCATTAGATGCAGGTTCTAGTGCAATGCTTCTTGTACAGCCTTCAGAACCATAAGCCAAATAAACCCATTTTTCTTTATAAATTACCTAGCTTTAAATGTTCCTTTATATAAACACAAACGGACTAAGATGCAGGTGTTCCTTGACTTGTGTTAGCATAACTCCAATCTCTGCGTAGGTCTTTACATGGCTTTCTCCGCTGTGTCCTTTCATTTTCTCACAAGGACAATAGTCATTGGATGTATGCCCTACCCTCATACTGTACAATTTCATCTCAATCTTTAAATAATTACATTGGCAAAGATGTTGTTTCTAAATAAGGTCACATTCTGAGGTTCTGGATGGACATGAAATTTGGGGGACACTATTCAATCCATACTATACTGGATTGTTTTTGTCCTTCATGTTGGGTCACCAAAATCACTTGGTTTTTACCTATAATAAGAAACAAATCTGTGTGAATGTGTGCAACTGAAAATAAGTACCCAAGACACTGCAGACTTAATAGGTGGGTCTTACCCACCCTTACTTTCAGTGAGCTTTCAGAGAATCAGTAGGAAGCTATTTTATGTGTCTCCTGGCATTTGAGGAGGCTGACACTTGCCTGAGAAGTCTAAAAGCAGGAGACTGTGGCTCTGAATCCAAGAAGGTATAGCAAAAAGAAAGCAGCAGCCTGTACTGTGAGAGCAAGCTGTATATAGTTTAATTAACCAGAGCAATCAAAGTTCTGTTTGTTTTCCTATAGGCCAACTCCACCCTTGGGAAAGAGTTGGCTGGGAGCCATCTTGAAAGAAGCTCTGCCCAAGATGGATAAATTGAGCCAGTGGAGGGGTTGAGGGCTGGAAACCCAAGAGCTGAGGATCAAGACATCTCTTCTGCCATAAAAGTACATTTTGACCTGCTTCCCAGTGGGAAATACCCACAAATCTCCCATAAGACAAAGAATCAGCATTGGGAAGTTAATCTAGATGCCACCACTACCAAATCATGATAGAACCAGTTATGACCCCCTTTTCCTTGGCTCTAACCATGAAAGGGTCAAAAATCTCAGTCTCTCCAGGACTCTCCCCCAAAGCAGGCTCCAACTAGGCAAAGGGGAGAAGTTTTAATTTGGAATGGTGTTTGGAGTCATGTGATTTATTACATTGAATTGGACAATTCAGAGGCTGTTTTCATGACTACTGGTAATTGGGGGACTTGTTACCATTTGTAAGTGATTGAAAAACTATGGAATCTGCCTAAGACTTTATTTGGAGACAGAGAAGAAAGTCCACTTGAAAGGATAATGGAAGGAAAGAGTTATGTTGTTTTCTAATTGTGTCCCATAGAGTCCCATTCTATCACCATGATACTTCCACAAGGTAGTTGTGGCCTGTTAGTGCTACAAAAAGAATGGAAGCTAAAACAGCTGCCTGTTATATAAGATGCCACCTTAAGGACTTTTCCCATATGCATCCATTACTTTTAGTAACTATTTATGGGCTTACTGGTTAGGAAAAGATCCAGTGTTACTGTATGAATCTATTATTTGATACCACTCATAGCTATTAGTGATAGCTCATGCTTTTTCCCTCTTTGGTGAATAGTCAGAATGAAGGCCACATTTTCTAGTCTTGAATCTGGCAACTATTAAACATATCCTGACTATGGAAACATCTTCTAAACGTTGACTCACCACCCTGTCTGGGAAGGTAGGAAGTCTGTGTTTCTCTTCATTGACTGCAATGTGCAGATCAGCATCTGGAAAGCAATATCAGAAGAAACTTGAAATAAAACAAAGAAAAACACCCAATGTTATAAATCAAGAGAATGCACCAGCTAGTGTGAGCAAGGCCCTAGGTTAATTGATTTCAGACACATATCTAGAGTGATTTTGTAGGTTTCCTATATAATGCCCAACTTAATGCCAGTTCCCAACTCTGAATTAAAAAGTCATGTTCTTCTAAATCCTATAGACTATTGATCCACACCTCCTTTCTACCATGTATTTGAGTCTCAGATATCTAATCTCATCAGGTAGTACATTCTGACCCTAGAGGTCAGAATCCATGTCTGATTCCCATTTGATTGGCTCATATAAGATAATTTAATAATTCTTGGAAATTGATAAGGAGCTAATGAATACGCATTTCTCTTTTTCCCCTCACACACACACATATATAGACGCCTAAGCTGCGAGTATGAAGCCACTGTATATGCCTTACCAGTGGAATGACCATATGATTTATTACCCAAACTGGAACACTTTTGACAGTGAAAGGGTATGCTCTTAATAATTATGGTAGGTTACCCAGCACAGAAAGGGATGTCCCAAACAAACTGGGGTATATGTTCAACCTACTGGTAAGCCATGTATCCTGGAAAGAGGGTGGACCAGGGAGGGCATCTTGGAGACAAAAAGAAATGAAGACACCCAACTGTTCCTTTTCTAGTAGCTGTGCCCATGGGCAGCCCAGTAGCTTAGCAGAGGAGTAAATTATGCTTGGGCAGATCCACAGTTTCACAGCTGCTTATGGACCGTAACATCTCTACGCTCTGTAGTTTTCTCCCCCAAGGCTGGCAGAGTGCCTGTGGCACCCAAAACACATAGTGAGTGCTATCCAAACAGAGCCCAGGAAGAGCATCTTAAGGCAGTGCTCTCTCTGACCTTTTTCTTAATCCTTCCAGGGAGTTAGAGAAAGGTCAATGGTGGAATCTGGCCTGCTAGGTAAAGATGCTAGACCATAGATAGAGCCACTGGGAAAAATGATTAATACTGTAAGGAGACATTACTCCTCAGTCCCTTGCAGGGCGGGGAAGACCCACCTGCAGCGAATTCTGTCATAGTTCATTCAATCATTATAATTCATGAATATACAAAGCAGTATCGTCTAATTGAGATTGATACATATCCATTGTATAGTGTAATGGAGGTGGAAAACACAATGGATATTTATTAATTGATTTTTCTGTAAAATCAATTAGTAGTAGTCACTTTTTTTTTCTTTTTTGAGACAGAGCCTCAAGCTCTCACTCTGGGTAGAGTGCCATGGTATCACAGCTCACAGCAACCTCCAATTCCTGGGCTTAAGTGATTCTCCCGCCTCAGCCTCCCAAGTAGCTGGGACTGCAGGTGCCTGCCACAATGCCCAGCTATTTTTTGGTTGTAGCTGTCATTGTAGTTTGGCAGGCCCAGGCTGGATTTGAGCCCGCCAGCTCCGGTGTATATGTGGCTGGCACCCTAGCCACTGATCTACAG